CTCTTGGCCCAGAATGTGGTTTCGATTACGCTAGGTATTACAATAGACCCAAAAAATAGAGGCACTCTGGAAAAGACGTCTTGAGCTAACTCATCTTCCCATGCAATCCTTCAGGGCAATAACTAAATCCAACTGTCACCAGTTACAATCCTACAAATCACCACAACCTGGCTGATACAGAGCGTTGTCAGACTTTCATATGCTCCAACTTCTTTTTAAATGAGTCTTCAGTAGTTTATAATAGGTTACTAGCTAATGTGAGTGACGCGAACACGCTTCCAGTGTCCACCTCATTCAACCGACTCCTCGAAGATGACAATGCTGTACTACGTCCGGCTCCTACACCTTAATTTTCACCCCACAGAGATAAATTTGGTTCATTTCACGTGTCAGTAACAACAAGCCTCATTTATAAGTGTTAGTATTATTGCAAGAACATGGTAAACATATCTACACAGGGCATAAGTATTAATTCATACGTGTAATACAAATGTTAGCATAACAGAAATAGTTGGTTTATTAATAGGAATCATGCTTTCTCTGTAATATTTATATTTTTGAGTTTACGAATCACTCCTCGGAGACTCTCTGTGCTTATTTCCTTGTCGTGCTTTGTCTTCTTCTTATCACACCATTTCAGCCCCTATGACCTCCTGAATAATGATACTTGGTGAGTTTAAGTAAAAATTTGATATCTACGAGCATCCCTGGCGCAATATCTTACATCAGCTTTGCGGAATACCCAGCGCTTCTCTTGCTACGAATCTTAGTTGGTGATTTGGGACTGTTATCTTTATACCATTAAACGAATCCCAGTCAACACATATGCAGCTCCAATAAAGCATATGATTTATGTGGTAAAATCATCACACTGATTCGTGTGATGATTATTTCTATACCCTGGATTCTACACTTGCCATTTTATATGGATTAGGTCGCCATTATTCTGGTTCCTAGCTGCATATGGATTGAAAGTTACCTGATCTTGTTTACTGTTAATGTAATGGTACTTTTTAGTACATTTAATCGAACACTTGCTGCTGTGACGAGTCGATGGCAATTAATATTGCTGATTGATTGCCACTTGATTGGCAAACTGTTGTATGATAATTAAAATGCTATATATATTAGAGTAGAACCAGAGATGAGGATCTAATTGAAAAGTAAATATTTCTTCGCTCAATCTTTCTGTTTTCTAATATTGCTGAAACGTTTTCGTCTGTAAACCTATTAACGTTTCACAGAGCACCTTAATCACTTTGTGAATAACCTACCATACCTATCAGCGGTAATTCAACCTTCAATTGTGACGTGCATTTTGGTTAAATTTGATCAGTGACGACGTGAGCCTTGTTTCAAGTGACCTATATGGTGTCCTGGACCATATACTGAGAACAACGAAATATTTCTACAAACTGCTGGTCAGCGGAAGTTAAAGAGAACTACTGTGGCGGTCGTAAGTATTATAAAGTAAATATATTCTCGTGAAGCAATCCATCAGTCGTGACAATGAGGAATCGCGAGTTACAGACAAGCAAACATGTGCTTCCAGCAAACATTTGGCAAACTGTACCCATGGGAAGAGATGTTATTTTGCACTTTTAAAATTTTTGCAAATTTATGCCCGCGCTCTTCATTCCCTGTCCACTGTAGTCACCTAAATTCAAGCTTCATCGTATTCATTTTTAGCTACAGGTAAACACTACTCAAATTCCATCCGCTTGGCGATTATATTTGTAGCACACTCTCTATGAACTGAGCCCTATGAGCGCCGGTACCTTAGTTCTACCACTTGCCAGTTTGAACATCGCACACAAGGGGAATTTGACCGCATGAATGACTTTGAAACTTTCAGTGAGCAAGTTGGTGAAACCAGTTAAACAGCATTAAAGTTATGGCTAAAATGCGCTCAACAAAGTGGTGTGATAATAAATGAGATATCTAATAGGTCTTAGGTCAGGTTTGGGGAGGATCAGGTTAAGGTCCAGGCTAAGGACAGGATAGAGTTGGGTTATCCTAGTAAGGGGGTATTAGTGTTGATTCCGGTTAGATTAGAGTTAGTTTAAGGACAGCTTTGCGTCTCGTTAAAGAAGGACGAAGGTTAGTGTCAGTGTTAGAATACGTACAGAATATATTTTAGTTTCTCTACTGACAAGTCAATGCAAACTGTTTATTTTTATCACACGAAAAAGAAACGCATCCTGTGTAACGCTCTGCTCTTTTTATTTTCATTGTCTTAATATAAATATATGTTTTATAAGTATAAATCGCTTTCTTTATGGATAGGCTGTCAGCATACTTAATTTCTTATTAGCACCAGTGAGATGAACAACTAACAGTGATGCTTGTGACGACCAGCTCGCCATTAGAGTTGCTTTAATTTCAGACTCAGTTTGGCTGTTTGGTGAGGTTTGCATGTCCCAGGAGTATTTTATTCGACCTTTCGTGTAACACCGTAAAAACTATTACAGCAGGGGAAAGAAAGATATTTCAGCGAATTTGTCTGCCAAATTCAGTGAATTTTCTTGATTCTGCAGAAGTGTCAAGGATATATACAACGTTTCCGATAGGTGATAACTTCACGCAACTTCAGTTATCGGTTGGTTATCATCTTCAGCGAACCTTATTTCAGCATAAAATTTCCAGCGGCTGGTACAACCGTGCTGAGGACAACAGAGTAATACAGCATGTCAGCAACTATGTATTATCTATTATTCACTGGAAAATGGGAAAGCAGGCATCACGTTATATAGGCCTCATGCTTTTAGCCCAGATATAATAAGTAACCATACACTTTCAGAACAAATCTTGAGTTCAGCTGGAATAAAGTAGTTGACCCCATCAGTATTGCAGGACTACACCAGTGAAATTAAGCAAACATTAGCTTTGCGAAATTAAGTAGTAAATTTTCCTGATGTGGTTGAATTACTAATAGCCGCTTAGCTGAGCTAATCATAGATTTGTTGTGATAATAATACCTGTTGTTACTGTCATCTATATAACCACTGTGATCATGAACACTGTTGTCATCGCTGTTAATATTGTTATTATTTGTCATAAGGTCCTTATTGTTAGTGTTAACGTGTTCTGAAGCTTCAATGGATCTACTAGATTTGAGCTAGATATATATATTCTGAAGTCTCTTAAGTGAACGCCAATGAAGTAGTTATTTAAAAGTTGTTTTTTATAATTTGTTCAGACTATACATGCACTATCCAACTTAACGGTTCTTTTCTTAAGCCTTTTCAGACTGTTTTGGAGAAATATATATGTACATGTGCCTGCAGACAGAACGTATTAAGAATATGAAAAGATTACTTATGATGAATATTTGTACAACCTTTTGTTTAACATTTGCTTAAAAAATAAATCCTTAATATGTCTCCTTTCTTTCTGTTGTTATGGGATTGTGGTCCTGTAACATTAGCCACTGGTACTTGGGTAGAAACTGTGCGTTATGTTGGGAAAGTAATGAAACGAAAAAGTGAAAATTAAGCAAAAACCGCTAAAAAGTATCGCAATGTTTGGGAGACATATGTCGACGCGATTAAATAATCACATCATGTGTTCTAAGGCTGGTTGTTTTGAATTATTGTTATTGCGGTAGTTGCACTGAATTATGTGTATTATAGATTTCCTAGAATGGTATATTACGACATCCGGAAGTTGGAACTACACTCTCCTCTTAGGTCTCGTGTGAAAGTGATAGGCGATTCGGAACGCCTTTTGGTGTAAACACTTATTAAGACAAGTGTACATACTGGGTTTCTTCATCAACAAGATAATCTTTTCATAAAAATCATCTCCGAATTTCCACTTTAACTCGGTAATTTGAAGACAACTTCACGCTACTCACTACGGTAGCAGTTTGTGAAGACTGCTCATTGGATGCCTTGACTTTAGAAATATTATTCCTAAGCGTAAATGCATAATTCTACCCTTTGATCACTGCATTGATTTTATTCGTTACATATCAAAATGTTGCCGCGGATAATAATTGTGTACAGTATTATTTATCGGTGAATGTTTTTTAAAATACACGACTCACTATAAGAAATAACATTAGCGTCAAAATCTTTGTCACTATCAACTTTGGCTAAGGTTAACACTGTCTCATCAAGTAGCATATCCAAACAAACAAGGGCATTGATATGGCGTATCCCCTATTTGAAGTGGCGCCTCTGGCTGAACCTTGACGGCATTTGCGCGGAGGGGTACATTTATTGATAATTTAGCATTAAGTAGAAATCTAGTGACAATGCAGAAATCACTTCCTTCAGCAACCAACCCATAAATTCTCCCAAATAAGCCAGTGCCCATAAAAAGAACAAAAAATGGCTCAGAAACTTATCACCTAAAGTGCAAGGGAATAACATAAGTCCGTGATCTGTGTTAACTTACGTTAGCTAATATTTTTTTAACTCAGAAAAAATATATGTCACAACTGCCTTAAAACATAAAGTCAAGGCACGTTAAAAAACCTAGTGCTAAGTCTGTATGATGCAACATAATTAATAAGACGACGAAATGATGCATACACATTTCGTTCACTTAATAATTATTTTTTATATGAGATAAATGAAATTTAATCCGTACATGATCACGTCAATGTTTGAAGAAATCAACTGCAAAAAAGTATCAGTAGAAGTCGTGTGCAATGATGTAAGTTAACTTTTTTGAGAGGGAGTTTCACATATTGCAAATGCTTCTGAAAATTAAGTATTGCACCTCCGGATAGGAACATTATTTGTGGCTATTTTCGCTCATAGCACTGTTTTCCATTCACTTTTAGCAAGTAGAAACAGTACACAATTGTAAACCTAAGTTTCCTTACTAGGTGCAAGTTAAGGGTACCAGCTGATCAAATGACTTACGTCTGAGTACAGGCTGGCTGTTAGTGTGTTGTCGCGTCCAACGTAATTTGAAGTTACTTCTTTGTAACGCTTAAAGTGGCACTTCACTGTACGTATCGTAACCTTAAAATTAGTTACAAACATGATAAAAAATAATAGAAATTTTCAAAATATCGTCTTGGCTACAGCGATGTTTGGCGGTAGGAACAACAGTAGCGTTGCGAATCGTCAACCTACGTCTGCATGTGTCGTGACTTAAGTGGAGACTACTAAGTTTTTTTAAATACCTGGAAGCTTTTATGGTATGTGATTAACTAGGGTGTTTTTTTTGTTATGTCGTTTGCTTGAGCATGTTTTCGAAAATCTGTTTTACTAATGCAGAATTCTTAAGAATTCTTTATTATTAAATTTAATAATAAAGAATTAAGCATTTCGCAACGCTTTATCTGCTTTCATAGCTATCTTGGGTTAGAGACTAAAGTCTCATATATATGTAAGATATCATATTATTTTCAGAAATGGTTGTATCCTAATACTTTCAATAAACAAAAATAAATATATATTCTGGTCATGAGGTCTCACGCCTGCTTACAGTTAGGGAGATCCTGTAACCGCACGAAACTCCTTACGTATATTTGTACTGAAAATGCTTATTTCTCAAAATTAATTCACCCACTCTCAACTTTTTTCGAATTTTCGCGCACATTGTTTGATTGTTGTGTTGCATCGGTCTTTCAGCTGAAAAAGTGTCGAGACGGTGTTTTGAAGTTAGGCGTCGAGGAGGGGAAATCAATCGACAAGGCTGTGAAATTACATCGACTGAGATGGTTAGAACATGTGTTACGTATGCCTAGTCATCGCCTTCCACGACGGGCTATGTTAGCTGATATAGGGTCAGGCTGGAAAAGAGTTAGTGGCGGTCAAACCAAAACATGGCACCAGTCAATGAAATCTACAACAGTTAGTCTAAGCCAGTCACGTAGGAAGGTGTAGACTTCCTAACTGGTTGGGGTCTTCGGGACGGTAAAAACCAATGGTTGGAAACAATTGGTGACATGCCTCCAAATCGTTCTCAATGGCGCAGATGCATCCACTCCTTGTGATTTCCAATGAAACTGTTTTGTTCTTCGTTATTACTATTCCTTTGTCTGACACCTCTGCTTACTGTTTCTATTATGCTTTTCTTGTACTTTCTTCCCTTGCTTTGTGTGCTACATGGAGTGTGGCGACTTAAACTGCCTCACATGTGTGCAAAGTTCTATGTCGAAAATAGACAGACTTTATGGATTGCTCTCCTTAGAATCAGGAAAACAAGGTATAAAGCAACCACAACAACAGCGGCAAAGAAATCACAACAGGAAGCGCAGCGACTATTACGACAAAAACCGTAGCTGTTATATCACTGCCAAATACAGTTAACAAAAATGATATCAAAACCATTGACTCACTAACTTGGGTATGTAAATCCAACAATATATAGTTATGTATATTAGTTAGAAAGTATTGGTAAGGGACAATATATATATTTTTTCATAGCTTTGTTGGTTTACAGTACGTTTGAAATTCGTTAAAGACCCTTACCTACAGGGTCAGAGCTGCTTCTTCAGATGTAATTTAGCATAAACTTAAAGTTGTTCATGACAGATTAAATGAAAGCATCTACCCTGAAAAGGTCATCATGAAACTCAGCCCAGAAAGTAGAAAAGAATTCTTCAGCGTCCGCTAACAAAAATTCTCTATTTATGCGATTGAAATTCAACAGTGATATACCAAGCCAAATAACCAACATTAGTATATGTGTAAAACTTGGGCACTGTGGTAGTATGCAATACCATATCAGTGTTTATTAGATATATCACAGTGAGACAGAATTGTTAACTGGATGACGTTTCGAACACAATTTATTGTTCATAGTCATATCAATTATCATCACGACTTCGAAACTTGAGTTTTATAGCTTTCTTTTTTCTCCTATTTGTCGTAGGGGTAGTAGAATTTTCCAGATGTCTGGGAGAAGCGTTGAGTCATTCCTATTATACGTGTTTGCAGTTGATTCGACAAATAAAGCTTCCGGCATCGATCTCTCCCTTCACCCTGTTACAACTATCATCTAGCAAAATCTGGATTAGTTGATCCGAATAAGATCAGAAATCTGACGAATAGTTCAGCCATAGCACTATATGCAATCACACACAAACACATTGGAATGGTATAGGATGACAGTTGTAGAATATATTTTAATTTTTTGTAATAATTTATTGTATTCGAAGTCATGTGATGATAATTGATATGACTATGAACAATAAATTGTGTTCGAAACGTCATCCATTAAATAATACTGTTTCACTGTGATATATCTAATAAATTAATGTGGAAATAACCAGCAAATTGAGGAAACTAATTCCAACTTTTAATTGTTGTGAACTTTTCTTATAATACATATCTAATCATATTCCTATCTCTACCGCTATTAACACTCTTTTTTCCTTTATATGTTTAAGCCATTCCGGCTTCATTGTAAAATGAATAAAGCCTAAATTCTTGGTTCATTCGTCTTTTCAAGATTCAAGCATCACTCATCGTTCTAAGACTCAATCACCTTCGTAACAATTTATTCATTTTACAATATTCATGGAACGATTTTTCCGACCTGATCGGTTCGACGTAGAACCTAACGCAGTTGGAGCTGCCAAGAAGTGGGATCACTGGTTTGCGACTTTTCCTACTTCATTGAATCAATGGGATCCGAAAATCCTTCGAAACTACATATTCTCTTCAATCATATTTCTACTTCTGTATACGAATGCATTTCTGAATGCAAAACATACGAAGAAGCTATCGACACTCTCAAGAGTCTCTACATGCAGCCTTGCAACGAAGTGTTTGCTCGACACTTGTTAGCAACGTGTAAACAAGAATCTGGCGAAAATCTGGATCAGTTTGTTCGTCGACTCAAGTCGCTGACTACAGATTGTTCATTCAGGGCAGTTACAGCCGAAGAACATCGTAACGAATCTCTACGTGATTCATTCATCTCAGGTATACAGTCTTCGATGATACGCCAGAGGCTATTAGAACAGCGTACTTTAACTTTTCAAGCGGCATACGATCAAGCACGAGCTCTAGAGATGGCACATCAACAATCGCAGTCATACAACAATCCTGTTACACCTTGCGCGTCCATTTCTTTACATGATGTACCTCATTCATCAGATTCCACACCCTCCGTCAATGAAACAACCATTGCTGCCGTTGAATCCAAATGCTTTTTCTGTGGTAATCGTAGACATCCTCGTTCCAAATGCCCCGCCCGTGATGCAGTTTGCAAAGCTTGTGGCAAGCAAGGACATTTTCAGAAGGTTTGCAGGTCTGCGCCATCTACGAAAAAAGGTCCATCTTCAGTTAACTCTATAATTTCATCTCTCGTTGTGGCTTCAGCACCTCAAAGTCTCACTGATGCTGTTACGCAGCTTACTGTCAATGGGAAATCAATGCAAGCTCTAGTGGATACCGGAAGCAGTGAGAGCTACATCTCTTCCTCAGTTGTTCGTAAGTATAACTGGAAAGTCCATAAGTCTCGAAACAGAATCACAATGGCGAGTACGAATCTTACTAGTCATACTGAAGGACATTGTTTCTATCCATCTGCTATAAAAACCACACTTATGATCTATTCAAATTTTCCATTCTTCATAATTTATGTGCAGACGTCCTTCTTGGACATGATTTTTTAAAACTTCACAAACACATTGAGATTCCTTTTGGGGGATCAAAGCCGCCTTTTTCTCTCTGTGGTCTACCTTGTGTTCGCGTCGACCTGCCTACTCTGTTTGAAAATCTTTCAAAAGACTGTAAACCGATCGCGATAAAATCCCGGCGTTATTCTCGTGAAGATGAAAGTTTTATTTCCACCGAAGTCAACCGGTTACTGCAAGAAGGTGTTATTGAACCTTCTAATTCTCCTTGGCGAGCTCAAGTTCTTGTTACGTCAAACGAACGCCATAAAAAGAGGATGGTAGTTGATTATAGTCAGACAATCAATCGATTCACTTTTCTGGATGCTTACCCATTACCTAGGATTGACGAAATGATAGAAAAAATCGCACAATATGACATATTCAGCACTCTTGATCTGAAGAATGCTTATCATCAAATTGCCCTAAGGAACGAAGATAAACCATATACTGCTTTCGAGGCTTGTGGGAAACTTTACCAATTTTGCCGAATTCCTTTTGGTGTTACCAATGGCGTAGCTTGTTTTCAACGCATTATCGATGAATTGATCAGTAAAGAACAACTCACAAGCACGTTTGCCTACATTGACAATGTCACTATCTGCGGCAAAACTCAGGAGGAACACGACAAAAATCTAAACAAGTTTATGGTAGCAGCACGCAATTATGGAATAACCCTTAATGATTCCAAAAGTGTGATCTCAAGCAGAAGCATACAATTACTCGGTTATGAAGTTTCAAAGGGGTTATTAAACCAGATCCCGATCGGCTAAAACCTCTTCGTGATCTAGAACCACCCACAGATATCAAATCTCAACAACGGGCCGTTGGATTATTTGCTTATTATTCACAGTGGATCCCTCGCTTCTCAGATAAAATCCACCCATTGGTAAATAATCGGATTTTCCCTCTTGATATCGAAACTCGAAATGCTTTTGACAAACTGAAAGACGACTTAGAACGTGCAGTCGTTGTGGTAGTTGATCCGAAAGCACCCCTTGTTGTTGAAACAGATGCTTCAGATGTCTCAATTGCAGCTACATTAAACCAGAATGGTAAACCTGTCGCCTTCTTTTCTCGAAGTGAGAAACATCATTCATCGGTTGAGAAAGAAGCCTATGCCGTGGTTGAAGCAATTCGTAAGTGGAAGCATTACCTTCTCGGAAATCACTTCAAACTTGTCACTGATCAACGTTCAGTAGCATTCATGTTTGACAAGATTCATAAAGGCAAAATCAAGAACGATAAAATAATGCGTTGGAGAATTGAGCTATCCCCTTATCAATATGACATCATTTATCGTCCTGGAAGGGATAATCAAGCTGCTGATACATTTTCCCGTAGTTTCTGCGGTTCCTTGCAGTCAGTGTGCGACTTGAAATTTCTCCATGACTCTATGTGCCATCCTGGAGTTGTCCGAATGATGCATTTTGTACGCTCGAGAAACCTTCCATTCTCCCTTGACGAGGTGCGCAATGTAACCAGTAAATGCGTGACATGCTGTGAGTTAAAGCCTCAATTTTACAATCCCTCTAATTTCAAACTCATAAAAGCAACCCAACCTTTTGAAAGGTTAAGCATCGACTTTAAAGGACCTCTACCGTCAGCTAGCCGCAATCACTATCTGCTCACGCTGATCGATGAATATTCTCGATTCCCCTTTGCATTCGCCTGCCCCGACATGTCGTCTCAAACGGTAATGAATTGCCTTTGCCAACTGTTTTCGATTTTCGGTATGCCTTCTTACATACATACCGAC